ACAATAACTCGCGAAAAACTCAATATTATGAGCTCAAATTTATACTGAGAACTATCAATGGTCAGATACATATTCAATAAAAATTTCAGTAAGATTGAGTGTTTTGGGGAAAAAAAAATTTAGAGGGAGGGGTGGGCCTTAAGAAAACGACATTCAGAAAAACAGCCTTTACAGTTGTTGTTTTTTGCGAACAACAATATTTCCAAGCTTTTCATAGAAGGAAACTACTAGGTTTTTTTCTACAACAACCATTTCATAGCCAAATCCGCTGCAAATGCTTTTTTGAAAAATGTATTACCGAAGTTGAATGAACAAAGAAACTTTCTTCTCATTATTACAATACTTTTTTATGCTAAACGTTTGATCTGATTGAAATGTTATCTTTAGATTCTACCAATTATAATCCGGGATTGGATGTTTAGAATGTGCAATACATTCTTGGTCAAAATTTGTTGGTATCAACTGTGCAACATTCATCAGCCATTTCTCATAAGGTAACAGATCTATTTGTTTGTTATTGAATAAAATTCGTATCCAGTATTTATCCTTGTCCTGATGCTCATTAGTATCCTGACACAGTTCAATAATCATGTTAGATCCCAATAATGGCCATCCATATTCAAAAACTTCACCATGACCTAGTGCTTCCATTAGTGGTATTATAGATGTATCATGTGCAGTATATAGTGATGCCACTTTTTGATTATTATTATCGTTGACTTTCTGTTGAATATCGTTTAAAATTTCAGATAAAAATCGGCCCATTGCTAATCGTGCCAGTTCACGTCGATTCGCACTTGTTACATCATCCACCGTATCTTTCAAAATATAATGTCCATTAAAAAACATCCATTCTGTTAATTTATTGATTTGTTCAGCCATGTCGTCCGTGACACCTTCTGGAAGGGGTTTATCCATGGCTTGTCGGCATTTTATTTCATCACCTAAGATAAAAAAATAACAACAACTGTTGCTCCAACACTGTTTTTCTGGAAAAACGGGAGACAATAACTCCAAAAGTTGAGAAAAATGGAAAAAATTGCCTTTGTCTTGAAGTTTGTTTTCAAACAGAAATATTTCAGGAACTTTGCTACTCAAAAGCAGTTTTTGCCTCAGACACACACCGTTAAATCAAATAAGCAACTATCCAAAACGGGAGGAACTTTTTTCTCAAAATTGCATTTTACATCAAATATCGTGTATCACAAAGTGCCAAAAAGCGTCAAGTAGATCGGCTCCAGCAAGTCTGTACTTGTGAGGTAGCTAGCGATCTTGGACTTGAGTGCATCAATAGAAGACATTTCAAACTACAACACTATAAAAAAATCAGATCTTGATCACTTGTCTTTCCGGAAAAATAGTTAAAATAGTAAAAAAACACATGACTGTTAGCGCCATGTGCTCGCACAAGCAAATTGTTTTCTCTATACTTTGTAAAACGT